CCACTGATATAGTAATCCGATGAGTTTTTTCCATTGCACTGCGTATATCGAAAGAAATCGTGGCTTACCATTCTGAAGAGGGCAGGATTTGAAAATTTCTCGGCACGCGATATCGGCAGTCATTTATTCCAGCATTCACAGCAATAGGTTTGTCTCATTTCAAGAGGTGCGCTGGTTAACGCGATTACCGACGGAAGCACTGAATATATTCAAACAAAGTACAAGAGGCCACGAGATAATCGACATGCCACTTTATCATGAATTTTGTGGCGATGTAGTAGCACAGTTCGGAAATCCGGAGTTCGAAGGTTGGCAAGGTTCGTTTGCTTTCACGAGTCAATGATGTTACGATACGCAACGAGAAAAACAAAAGGGTGCGCGTGACGCTATACATCGGGGTATAAATTCTTATCGATGCTTTACATTACCGTAATTACTGTCTGTATTAAATTATTACGTTTCCTACACAATTCGTCATACAATTACTCTTTGTAGTGCTCGATATTCGTGATGCAATAATTTTGCAGCTCGTTATTACAATTTTAATGCCTATAAAAGAATGACGAGCAATATGACTTATTTGACACAGAGATTAACGTAAGGCAAATTGTAACGAACAGAATTATTAAATAATATTGGACAATAATTATTTTCTCTCTTTCTTGTAGTCGATTAGTCAATGAAAGTTACGCGCAGATTGATTGATTCTACGGCTCGAATGTAACACTATCTGCAAAACATGTTCGTAAATCGGTTATTTGGGAAATAATAATTATCTGTGATGCTCCTTGTTGACATCCGGTATGTAACGAACAACAAGGACGCATTTACTGCGCACGTGCGTCACTGCGCTAAACAAATTTTTCTGTAAATATAAACCAGGATATCTTCTTGACACGACAACCTGTTACATACATTAACAGCATCCGAAAATGTTTCGATGCGCGATGACGTTCATTAATATGCGTCCAATATCAACTGCGAAATTGCAAAATGTATTTCGTCGTTTGAGACTTATATTTTCTGTATAGCATAAATCTTGAAACACAAAGTCGCATGGCACGCGATTACACGGCTCGTGACCACATTCGACCATTTCACGTAGCTTTGCGTTTATGCACCTTAAATATCGATAGCACTAGCATATATTCGGTAAGATATGCCGTATCACATCTTCACGCGGAATCTATCGTTAAACAACTGGGAATCGTTAATGCGAAGTTAAAGTGTGAAATGATGCAATGATTCACGCATTGCTGTGATAATAACGAATTCAACCACAGATTTTTTCTGGCTCAAGAACAAGATCCGAGTTGTTATAAACACATCGATAAATAATCATATTTGACGTGAGTTTGGACGTTATTATTTATATTATTTTTACAGATTGAATAAACAAATAAGTAATTGTCTTTTTAAAACGACCATAGAATACGTACAAGATTTTATATACTCTGGAAATGCATTTATTATTAAAACAATTGTGTTTGAGAAATACAACACCGATTTTATATGTTCCGCAAAAGGAACAAGTTCGTTAGTGAATTATACAAAATGAAAATAATATTATATTAAATATTTATCAGAGATTTAACTTTATATATTTAAAGCAAGAATTAGAAGTACAAGACTGATTGCAAGACAGATGTGTATGTATGAATGGCATGGCAAAATAATTTGTTGCTTCACATTCAGACAAGATGGTTAAAAACTATTAAGAATTTAATTTTATAATTAATTGTGTCTAATACTATGATCACGGCTAATTTTATTTACTGCAATTCTCAATTACCAATGTGTCTCGTTTGCATTAGGTATGAAAGAAAGGAAATTGAGGGTTCTATTGATAGCTTAGAAAACTCATATTCCTCGGATATTGCATAGTCATCGTTATGCCAATCTCGATATGTAAATACTATCTCGTCTACGCTATTGATTACTAATTTTCCTGAAATGCTTAGCATTATAAATAGCATTATAAATTCACCTCTTCACGTTGTCATCGCTTCGGGAAAAATATTTAACATTTATCGGGTACTTTGGGAGGTAAAGGCAGTAGGTAATTTAATATTTGATTAACATTTTTTTCTCGAAAAATAATTCCAAAATAATGTTGCAGAAATATATAATCAGAATATTATTGTTGTAGAACAAGCAAGAGTACGTAAAAAGAAATAAGCAATTGTAATCGAGCCATTTTCATCTTCGCTAAAAAGACGGAAGTGAATTTTAAATGTAGTAATGTTCGATGATTAACATGACACTGGGCTCCATGCCTACTATGTTATTGTAAAAACAGGAAATACGTTCTCGACATAACGATCAGTTCTTATCGTACACTGGTTCCGGTCAAAATCGTTTGACCCTCGCATTGGATTTCGACTCTCGAAACTGCACTGTCGGTTTGACAACGAACTGATGCCCTGATGCGCTATTTTAGTTAGTTTCAAGTATATCATAGCAGGAGGGGCGCATATCTTAAACTTAAAGTGCATCCGCGGCCGTGATTGCCAGACATTGAGTTACGAAAATGTTTGCACTTAAATACGACGGACGGTAAATATCTCTTTCGATTTAAATAAAAATTGTTGCATTGAGCGTTCTATTATCTACGTGCAGTTCAACATTTCAAGTTTCAACATTCATAGTAGTTTTGTATAATTAACATAAAACGATATCTGTCAATAATATCAAATAAGAAAATGTCTTCTAAATAATTTCACAATCATATGATAATTTTTGTATATTGTGTTTGAAAGAATCAGATTTATTTGTATGCAAATGCGAATGACCTTACAGATTTACTTGAATAATCCAGATAGTGGTGAATCAACTCATACTTCCTCCAATCTTTGATTCACGCACGCCTTCGTCCTGTCTGGTTGTAACCGTCTGCTATTATTTTTAGCGCATGATCACTACGCCGCGCGAACACGAAAAGAAAGAGAGAGAGGGAGAGACGTTTGTAAGACGCGGTTCTAATGCCGACCGAGTATATTAGGTCATCCCACGGGCTTGGCTTGCATAATTATCGGCTCTTCTGTCACCAAAGGCCGACCCGCGTATAACACCGTTGCGTTGCTCTTTTACCGCACCTTCAGCCGCGGCATTCATCAACGTGGTATGCGTAAAAATAAGTACTATATGCGTTTGTATGGACATAATTTTAAATTTTGTACATGAATTTGAAAATTTCCACTTTATCAAGCAATTAAAAGTTCGGTCAAATCGCACATTACGAATTCCTATGGCAAAGCTGTAAAAGCTTGAATAAATAATATTGAACGTATTTCGAAAAAAATATCACTTCTATGTAAATTGTACAAGTACTTTTCTTACGATAGATCGTAATGTACGGTATACGTGAACGTTAATCGATAAGGTTCACCGATTCAAATGTGTGCAATGACACATGTGAAACTCCTGGTAACGATCATTGAACACTCCCGAGTCTCGTAAGTTACGAGGAAAGATCTTTCGTTATTCTATGCGGGTAACTACAATGTGTTATAAGAGAGCCTAGCTAGGATTTTCCAATTGTGTCACGACGCAGGTGTATTTTTCTATTAATGAATGCAAAAATACCGGCGCAGGAAATATTATACAAAGAATTAAATTGATTATAGTTTTCAAATATGCACTTTGTCGATGCTCAAAAGTATTGATTATTTATGATAAAGCTTTTATATGTACGTTGCGAAGATCTTACTATATCGTACTATCGTATTATCAAACTGGTATGCCGATGAGTAAGACAAATTCACTCATGTAACTTTCCTCGAATCATGGAAAAAGCACGGGAAAATAGCTGAGTCGCACTATCAGAGCTTCAGTAACTTTCTATCCACACAGACGAGAGCAGTATCCTTTCGTATACCACAGAGTCAAGCACGGATTTTACAACTGCAATACTTTTCTTTTTGAAATTATCATTTTACACAGTGATACATGTACTGGAAGTTTTATTTATCTTCATGAATTTTCGGTTTTAATAGTGCGTTTCGTTTAAGTAATGTATTTCCATAAAAAGAACGAATCATTACAATGCATTGAATAATCTTATAATCCGAGTAGTGAAGAAATTAGTCCGAGGTACCAAAAAGGTAAGAAAAATTTTCGAAATAATAACAAAATCTTTGCACAAGTACAGATCGATTGTCACGTATATGTATAACTATAGTACTCTATTTTAATTCTCATATATCAAAAAAGTAACTCGTTACGTATTATTCTTGCAAGCTTATAAATAAAATATGGTGTTGTCAAAGTATATGAGACCAAAGAGTTGTTATATTATAACAAAGCTATCTATGACTTTATCAATATTATCTGAAAATGTTTAAATATAATCTGGATATCCGGATATATTTGTATACAGCTTACCAGAATTGATTTTCATAAACAAATTTTTACGAAATTTATCGTCTAATAAAAATATTTAACCTTTGCATAGATTGCGGTGATACTAATAAGAGTGAAGTTTACGGATGGCTTGAATTAGTCATGCGAAGTACGCCAAGAATATTAACCCTTTGCGGTTAGTGAGAGTCAAATCAAATGATACTTGTGACGCTGTTGTCTAAACGATATCCTCATTTTCACACTTCCTTCTGAGAAAACAATCTTACAGGTCAATTTCGTGTGGCAGTTGTCCGGCTACTCTTTTTCTCTCTACCGGACACATAACATCCGCCAAACACATAGTAAAACAATTTCATAAAGATTCTCTAAAGCACACATGACTCAATCAATCAGATATTTTATTCTTCAAGAAAGCTTTATTGTAATAAAGAAGATGATCGGTTTTAGTTTTAATTATATATCTCACTCATTTCAATAATAGGGAAAATATGTTATTTAATACAAAGAACATATAAAATCCAAAATATTAAGCAATTTCAGATACATACAAAATATCTATGTATATTTCTGTCATTGTTTTAATTATATGGAGTGAAAATTTTTCGTATTCAATTATTGAATATACCATTACTGAGTACATTATGTACTACATGAAATATAAAGAATACAACAACCTATCACGATATATGTACGTATATTTTTCTACCTGTGCAGGACGATGAAAGGCAATCGATTAGCGTAGATGCGTAGTGAATATTGCGCGTGCACCAGCGATACTGTTGTTTCTCGCAGTGTGAATCGAAGAAGAAATCATCGGCATCAAGGCAAACAACTCACGGAGGAAAATTAAATGAACAATACGCGGCTTGCGTACTCCCTAATCGTTGAAGCTTGACTTTGATGTCACGGTAATAATACACATATGCAGCACGTTTCTTACGCGCTCCTCGGATTGTTTTATCGAAACTTTTTGCCATTTTATACGCCCGTTTCATGGCAAATTAAACGATTTAAATCAATGTCACTCATGTTTGATGGCAAGATACTATTTTTCCCCGCTAAGTAGCGCCTCACATTAAAAAGCTATTAAATAATAAAATAGATTCTAACTGATTACATCGTTAGACGAGCTCTCCGCAAAGTTTGACGTCAATGCGATACTGCTTGTGCGGATGTTGCGTGATAGATTATCTTATACTGCAGAGATTCTAGTCAAATATATATTACTTTAATGCATAATAGAACGCAAGCAATTTTCTATCGATTTGTCAAGCGTGACGCTTTCGTTTTCCGTGGGTGCCGGATATCGATCAAAAATTTTAGGACCAGCCACCCACGTCATTTCGACGTCATGCTACGTCATAAGTTTCTTAGACTCCGAGAAATATCTTGTTATCCTTATCGCGTAACATTTCTCGTCGCAAGAATATAATCAGTTAGTTAATTCGGTAACGTATGTAACACTAACAAAGTCGACTCGTTGTCGAAACAGGATGTATCAATGTGCCGCGGGAATTTAATATCCGATGATAAGCGACAATGTATTGAGCTATCATAAACTCACAATCAGTTGGTATCAGTTTTCACGTACCGTCTATCGCGACGTAACACATCTCATAGGGAATAAGTTTAAACACCCATGCGTATGCAGCTTCGATAAGCATCCATGAGAATGTACAAACAGGTGAAGTTCAAGTCATAACAAATTAATGACGAAATATTTTTCTAAAATTTTCTATTATAAAATTCTGCTGTTTTTTTTTAGAAATGATTAACGAATTAAAATTTACGGCTGTATTACGTCTCGCTAGACAACTGTAAGAGGAAATCTCAAAATATTCAATTAACTTACCTTATCCCGCGAGAGAACTTGACTGGGAAAATTCAACCTGCCTGCAACAGAAGAAGATAAGAATTAACGTCTTCGAAAAGTTTTACAATAGGGTTTTTAGTGTATGTGACACTTTTATGCGATGTATAATGTGCCTGTTCATTGTGCTTCCCCGTTGCATAAAATTTTGACGTCTAACGGGGAGACAGGATACAAAGTCCGAGATATTTTAAAGTTTTATGCAACGATTATGTTACGCCAAGCAGGATATTCTCTTGGAATATCCCCCGTATATTTATCCCGCGGTCAACTTCGTTAGTCCGTAAGTCAGTTTTACCTCTGCTGTAATAGTTGCTTGGCGGAAGAAAAAAAGCAGTCATCCTTCAAGTATGCGGGTATTGTTTCTTAATAACATGCTTTGAATCATGCTCGCTTAGTAGACGAGTCTTCGAGATACATCGCATTCGATTGTTGTGCCGCGCAATGTATTTACATTTATTGATGTCGTAGCAAAGGTCAGCTTGCTTTTGTGCAATTTCATGTCACGTTACGGAAAGAGTATACATATGTATTTTTGTGCTATTCAACATTACTTTGCTTAATATATAATTCCCTATCTATTGTATGTACATATTTAGATATTATATATGTACCGAAAAATAAAATAAAATGCGCGCGCGCGCCTGTACGTATCGCATTTTTATATATTAAAAAATTACTTTTGAAAACACTAAACTCATTAATATTAATTAAATGTAGATTAAATATTATTACGTTAAATATTATACAAAATCAGTAGTGTAAAACAATTGAACAAATAAGAATCTGTCGCTAATGTTATCTTATTTGTTGCAGGCGGAAGATACTGAAGACATAGCTTTCTGTCGCGTTAATTTTTCTCACGCGAGAGTAAGGCCAGGTGGGATGATATGGACATTGCAATGGACTTTATCAGCTTCGTAGATGAATTACACATGTTGCAGCGACTTCTTCGTAATCACCACAGATTTCTTTACAGGAGAGACCAGTTGTGCTTGCCAGTGCAAGCAGCAGGCGTAAGTTGTGTATCACTTGTACTTTCCTGACATCGCATACTAAGAACTGAACTTCTTCTCGGATCATCCGGCTTGATATTTTCACTTACAATGTGTCTTAAATACTTCAATAAATTAATCCTTATCTTCTTTGCGATAAAATACAAAAAAGTTCTATATACGATAAATTCGTCGATAGTAATCTCAAGGCAGATTCGTTTTTACGTATTTTAGAGATTAAAAGAATTGGTAGAAGGCATGTATAGAACACCCTATATGCACAAGTTGCGATCACACGATGGCACGTGGTCGGAGCAGCCGGTGCCCATCCAAGTATACATTTGTCGTTCGTAACGCGCTGGTATGCGAGATTATTTCCTGCGAATGATTCATCATCGTGCCCTTCAGGGTCGGGATGGCGGATCTTCACTTGGGGTCCGAAGATCACACGATATCGTCTTACCCTTTCAGCGTGCACCTGTGCAATTCTCGTCTCAGTTGCCATCGTGCCATATGTGTTTATTTGAGATCACACGTCAGTTACTTCATCCTTTACTTCCGATTATTGTCTCTACTCTTTCTCATTCGAGTATTCATTTCTTTTGATAAGGTTTCCGACAGGTCCTAGAAGCAGTCAGCAACATGTGCCTGCGGCTTCCTACGTTCATTCATGCTTTCATTCAGAGTATCGATTAACTTATGCAACGCGTAGACATTTGTATCAACCGTATCGCATCAAAGTTGTACGAACCACATTAGTTTATCTTATATAAAATTATTTTCATATAATTTTATATAATTTCTCCCTCTCTACACACACACGCACGCACACACATAGTCACACACATACACACACACATACACACACACACACACACACACATAATATACGCACAATGTATATTGGAGTAACAATTTATACATAAATTTATCATTTTCACATAATACTTGATATTACTACCTCATTAGTAAAAGATCTTGAATTATACAATCTTAGCGTCCAGTATGTAATCTTTAATTACGTTATGGATACTCTCTCTGGCTCTACAGTTTGTTATCATCGAAGATCACTTTACGCGACCATCCGTCAGCTATCCATTTCGATACAAAACGCAAACAGAACTGAGGAGATTGCATACCATCGATAGTCATGCGATGCATTCAAGCCGTTCATTCACGTATGCGCTCATGTGACCTCTTTGCCATAAGTATTCATTTGCTATTTGAATAAATATGCATTCTCCGAAAAAGATAATTATTTTTCAGCCTATTTATTATTAATTTCTGTAATGTAATCCACGAATTTACAGACTCGAAGTAAACGTGAACAACATTTTCAAATGGCTTAGGAATCAACTTAACAAATTAATTTGTTAATTGATTTTTAATCTTTTGGAAAAATATATATGTGTTGCATATATTTAGCTTGTTTCTATAAGGAAAATTAATTGAAGCTTTTATAAGAGCTAGTTCTTTAAAGTTTGAACTATTTTTCCAAAATGTTGCATATTCAGTTAAGAAGCTATGGTATTTCCGGAATGTATATTGGGTGGGCACAATTTTTGTCAGGCGCCTACTTCGCTTCGTCATACACGCGATCTTCGAGGGCATATTTGTAAGAGGATTGAGCGCGCATAGGATCGTCGAGACTGTTCGTTGAATCATCGCAACTCGATTCCAGGAATGCTCCATTCATCTCGGAGCAATGTCTTCGCAAAGGACGCGTAAACCGAAGGTCTTGCGGAATCGACGAACCTGCTTGCGGAAGATACACATTCTGACCCCATTCCGCGCGCGGTCGTGGCTTTGAGGACGCGTATTTCTGAATAACTGCACGACAAATTTCAAGAATATGTTACATAAAAATTGTCACTCGATTGGAATATCAAATTATCTCTAAAATTTTTCACGAGTTACAAGATTGCAGGCCAATTTTGAAAATCACAGTTCATTAATAATTCATTAATGAATAATGTAAACGTAAATGATACAAGCATTTTTTATTAAAAGTAAAAATCTAATCTACAAAATCTTGCTATTCGTCCTTAAGAATTGTGTTGAAGTGAAATTATTATTCAATTTGATCGCTATGTATGAAATATATTTATTTAGTTGAGCGATTAGAAGGAAAGTATATGTTCAAGTTGAATTATTGTACTTTGTAACGTTACTCGATGCACAATTCTGTTCCGATTAGACATGTGTTTGCGCATTACACAACCAAGTTACGGGTTTCCCCTGGCTTCATACCTTGAGGTACACAAACCCATTTATGCTTATGCTGATTATGACGTGGTATACTATTTTTGTGAGTTAGCTAGTTCTCCCTCACAGCTTCGCAGATTCTTTGTTCAATTGTGTTTGGGTAAACTCGATTACGTGTCGTAGCATCTTCCGCGATAAGTGCACATTCAACATGAAATTATTGCGTGTAACATTTCTGCGAATTTGCACCTGCGTCACTGATTTGGAGAGTTCCCAACGATACGGGGAGTTACGCGGCCTGCTTAAGTAATCGCGTACAGTACGACGCACAGCAGGGTGCTGAAAATCGTTGGGGTCTGTTAGGCATTCGTACGTCCCGGGATGCCGCTCTGAATCACTGCGTGTGAAGTCTTTCGACTTTGGCGGTAAAAGCCCACCAACGTGTGTTGGACCACCTTCCGTTTCGGATCGTTTAGTCACGATGTAGCCCATCTTTTGGGTAGCTTGCGCAAGATCAAATCCTGTTACAAAACACCGCGTTTCACGATCGTCGGCTCTTATGTAAATTCTTCTCTCGTTCGTGCAACTGTACCTACATTCCATCATTCGCCGGATGTGGAATTTCACTGTTGCAAAATGTTGTGTAATTTGAAGATGCATGTTATCTATATCGTTCATAATATTTGATGAGTATAAAAATGACGAACAACATGAATTTTCAACTGTATTCTTCGGGATATGATTATTTTTAAGATTGAACGAAATATAAGAAGGATTACACGTTACATAAATATTCATATATTAGTATTATTTCTTCAATATGTCTAATGTCTAAAGAAGCACGTTTAGTTCGCAATCGTACGATCTCGCGAGACCACTTGTGCATATCATAATGCATCGCAAGGTCTCTTTTTATGCTTATTATTCATAAAGGGGGAAGAACACGTAATATGCATATACGACAGGCGATCGGTCTTTGCGTAAGACGTCCAGACGATCGAAGCACAATTATCATTCACCTGATTCACCTCTCCGCACCGCAAATACGTCGTTTGTTGCGTCTTAATCCGAGTACCGGAGATCATTTTCGCGGAATTTGCCTTCGACTTTTGATCGAGGCCATTAGAAGAATTTTACCGCGGCCGAGCACGGAGCTGCCTGTAATTTCTGGATCAATAATTGCTGCGTCGAAGGCGAAACGGATGCGACAAGGACTGTTACTTTACAATACGATACGCGAGGCAAGATCTTTTTCCATTTTTCAAATTAGTTTCAGAGACGATGTAAATGGTTAACATGCGATTTTCACACTCGGTGTGTCAACGTGGATCGTCGCCTTTCTAATCTCCGGGTTGACAGGTACACACTGTTTCGTACAACTAAACGGTCAGTGACGCGTGACGATACCGACCTTAGCATACCCGTGGCTCGCGTGGCAAATTAGCATACCCGTATCGTTATTTTCACGCGACCGTAAAGTTCGTTGCAAACGTGCGCAGGCTCACGTTCCGCTTAAGGACTGCGAGGATATTTTGGGAAAGAAAGAATTACGATCGATCTCTGACGACACAGAGTCACCTTGCACATACAATTGGATGTACAGCTTTTAAATAGATTTTTGCCAAAAAGAGAGCGTCAGATTTCACAAAAATTGCTGTTTTCGCACAACACTCCTGGCGTACGTTGTATCTGGTAGCAAGAAAAAAGTATTATGCAAATAAGATTTATTTCTGTACAACTTGTACAACTTGAGCAAATTTAAATTTATAATTTTGCTCAACGGTATCAATGTTGTGTCGACTGAATCATGGTAAACAAAGATTAGAGCTAGACAGGCTGAAAATTTTGTACAAGGCATGAGAGTCGAGAAAAATTTTATGTTACATCATCAATTAAATAATGATAAAATTAACTCTAATTATCATTAACTATCATAATGACTATTCAATATTATCATTGCAAAGTATCGCTATGTTTACAAGTTGAACTGATTATAAAATTTATGATTGCATCGCATGATTTAGGGGCAATATTATAGCGAGAGGGTCGCAGGTAAACTCTATTGCTGAGTCATTTCGCAACTCCGAGAAATGAACGAGAGAAGTTTCTCAGTAACCAGATCATCCTCTTAAATCGAAAATATTAAATGCAATCAAGTGATTGTGGCTTATCACCAGCATCATTATGTTATCACCGTACAAAAGAGTGAGCAGAAAATATAACTTCGCGGGCATAAATAGACGCGTCGTTTGTGCTGTAACACAGCATGCAATCGGAGACCTTGATCGAAAGACTTGGTTACAAATTTTTTATCTGATAAATATATCTTTTTCCAGTAATTATTATATTTTATAAAATGCGTAATGATCGACACTAAATATATATTTAGTGGCAACACTTTGAATATCAGTGACAATAATCATCTTTATATTCATTAATAATAATTGAATAAAATTTCAAATTTCAATCGACCTTAGCTGACCACATTTATTAAAATACGCTTTCACAACGTTTCGACCTTTGGTTTAGGTCCTTATCAAGTGAGATCTAAGAGTAAATGGTTTACATACAGATTACGTGAGAAGTATAAAAGAATGGCACAGTGTCGCAGAATGATTGTCGGCCTACCTTGTTACGGAGATTTGTGTAATGAAGTTAAAACCGCATTTTGGCGGAACAGAGCTCAGTGTTAAGAGTAGACTTTCACGAACGTCCGGAGTCGAAGGGTGTCAGAACAAAACTGATTATAGTCATTTTAGTATTCAGAAGTCGGGTAACAAATATAAACATATAAGAGAAACAAACCAAGAGATGCTTTTGAGAGGTAAACTAAACCAAGCTAATAATAGTATATCGGATTAAGATTGTCAGAGTGTTCTCGGTTTTCTTGATGAGAAACATTTCAGCTCTCTCCCTTTTCTTTGTGTGCCTTTCATTATGAACAATTTCAGGGGATAACCAGTCAAAGTCATGTCCGCGTTGTGCGGTGTTCGCTGACCACAGAGTGATTATTAGAGTGTTTTTAAATGTTATTAGCATGTTCTATAACACGTGTAGTTGTGTAGTCAAAAGCAACTCTGACGGTCTAGGTTTGTGTTTCTTATATGTGTATATTTGTTACCCGACCTCTGAATACTAAAATGACTAATCAATCTTACACTCCTCGACTCCGGACGTTAGTGAAATTATACTCTTAATACTGAACTCCGTTCCGCTAAAATGTAGTTTTAATTTCATTTGACAAAACACCGTAACAAGATAGGCTCACAATCATTCTGCGATACTGTACAATTCTTTTATACTTCTCGCGTAATCTGTATGTAAAACGTTTACTCTTAGATCTCATTTGACAAGGACCTAAACCAAAGATCCAAACGTTGTGAAAGCGTATTTAATAAATGTAGCCAGCTGAGGTCGATTGAAACTTGAAATTTTATTTATATTAATACTGGCAATCTCTGATGAAATATACCATTCGAACAATAATTGAGTATATAAAAATTTTTACATAAAAATAATATGCAATACAATAATTGGATATAAAAAATATGTGAAAACTTAGATTATTTTAGTAACTATTACTAACTGTCATCCGGTACGAATTGATATAGGGTCATCATTTTGGAGGATACCTACTCTCTAAATGATCGACCCACTTTGATGAGATGCCGACTTTAGCTCCTTTTTTATTCGCACGTCTCGTGTTCGCGCAAGTTTGGACCTGTTCTCCAGCATAGTTCGGGCGAATAAATGGCTAAAAATGTGTACATTTCAGAAATTCAAAAGAAATCTAATCGTTTCTCCTTTTTGAGGTTTTCATCTCTTTATTTGTGTATCCGCCCCTGTTATATAAATTGTTTATGTTTCTATATACGCATATTGCTAATGTCATTTTACCTTCCCAAATATGCTAATTTAAAAATAGGCCACTCAAAGATATACTTGACGATGTTTCGCATGTAGAATTACACTTTATTACTGTAATATAAATCTGTAATTAAATTGGATCAATTTTGACAAAACATTGAAGTAGGTACATATAAAATATATCTTTTAAACGACACGTTTAAATGTTACGAGACCTAATAAAACATAGGCATTGTGAATTCAAGTAATAGTGTCAGAATAAACATTTGGCGATTATAATTTGACACGTTGAGCAAAGATGACGGCAACACTTTCTCTTTTACCGCATACGCTTACCTCTTCAATGGCGTTTCTGCCTATGACCTGCGTGTGACCCGCGTATGTAGCTTCGCGCGAAGTACAGGTGCAACTCACACGCATCGATCTCTACTGTCCAAACGATCGCGAGCCGCTATAAATCCGCGGCCTTGCAGCTCACGCGCACACGCGCGCGACGGCGCAAAAGTTGGATAATACGTTGGATAAATCGTTATGTTAACGGCGTCCGTGACGTAGAGCACGTTATCTCGCAGTACTGACCTGTTTTTCGTAACGATCCGCGCCGAGGAAGAACTAATGTTTCCTAGACCAGTTTCTGCAAGCTTATCGTTCAATTATACGTTTCGCTCGATCACGAACGGGATTTTATCAGTGCATGTGAATGCACTTGGATGAGTACGGTTACCGGAATGAAATGCAATTATCTAGAATCATCTAATTGTAAACGGATACTCTGTTTAATCATCAATTTCTCGGTCTAAATTTCGAGCAAGGATTGTGTGAAGATTCAACTGAGAATCCAGATCCTGCTGGTAGAGATTTACATTTCCTTTCCTTTTCTCTCTTGCGATAAAATTTAAATTTTTAAGAAAGTATATAAACGTACATATTATATTAAATATGAAAATAAAAATAATTATTAAATTTATCTGTGAAAAATAATTATGTACATATAAAAAGTTTATCAAAGTGTATTAAAAGTAAATTAAATATATAATTGAGCGTCCATTGAAGTTTTACTGTGTGAGCATAATGTAATTTCGTTGATGTTTTAGCTTTAAGATTCAATCGGCCCAACTATTGTTTTCGCATTTAATGTTACCATTCAAAGTATCGCAGATACAAGTATCGTAGATGATTTATTTCAGTTGCGAGCCAAATCGTCAGTCAATTAAAATGTTTTCCTGTTGCTGCAGGAAAGACATAAAAGTACGATCTTGCGCGGTACATACTCGCGTGACGAGCGAAGAGAATACTAAGCGGCGCTCAAGCCCGTGAGTTGTATGAATCAGTCGTAAGCAAGTGTAACGACCGAGTGACGTCAAGGAGATTGCACAACGAAGCGCGCCGGTAATCCCAACCGTTAGTTCGTCTGATCGATTCCTCGATCTCCCGATGAAAGCGATCGAGAAAGCAGGGCTTGGAATTCAGAATTCATTTCCTCGATTTACCATGCCCACCCCTTGAGCATCTTCGAAGGCTGGTGTGAAAGCGCTAAATAGATGACTGTTAGTTCGATCTATGACTAATCTCACGAGAGAGAAAAAAATTTACATGCTTAAAATATATGTAATATGTTAAAGTTATTTGCTACTTTTGTTACATCATAAAATAAAAGACAAGAATTGGATATTTATATGTCAACATATTTCGGAATTGTATCCGGAAAATTAAAATGTCTTCTTTCGTTTTCCAAAAAGTTTTGACGCTACAATAAAAAATTTAATCAAAATAAATTGATTAAAGCATTTTCAATCAAGTTGTATTTAATGATAATATTTTAAGTTTTCTGTTAAAATTTCTTGCCACAAAATATATTCATCAGTACAAAACATAAAAAATTTCTTAGAAAAGAATTGTCTTCGGCGAGATGAAGTCATGGGATCGTTTTAGAAGTAGGTTTTATAATTCAGGGATCGTGCATCGCGTGAAACCCCGTAGCGAGGACGGAGAGCGTTTACAAGAACAGTTCTTTGATTCCAATAAACGAACGTCAAATTCTGATATCCCGGTGTTTCCTGTTCGCGAAGTCGGAAGTTTCCTACTAGAATCATAAAACATTCATGTATCAGTCATAAATTATTGCCTTGCTGCCCACGTTTCCCCAGTAAGATTCGAATGCAAAATTTTCATCGTGAAATCCTTTTTCCGCAGGAGATATCGTACTGGGCGATAAGAAAATTGTTCTGACGTCATTACAAGATCCGCCTTCGTGCTGATTGCGTCGTTGCACTTGGCTCATTCGACGAGAAAGCGAACGGAGATAGTCACGGAATGAGTGAAAGTACAATGAAATAAGACCGGTACGAATTATTAACTTCCGAAATCCGTATTCTACTGTATCCGTAACCGATTATAACCTTTCGGATGTTTTAACGTAAAGACTCTATACAATTATTCAATTTTATATATTTAAATACTAGTTCTACATTGGAGAAACTTATATTCAGTATTATTTGAATATTTCACTAGAACAATACATTACGCGAGCATCATTTCGCATTATCCTTATTTTTACATTTTAGGGTAGATTGTCCCATTCTCTTGATAAGTTAGTTAATAGTTGAATCATTTTTTGAATTAATAATTTATACATTATAATTAATTTTATTACCTTTCATCTTCATCCATTCTTACTAAATTGGTGGATATTATTTCAATGCATTCTGATTACTTTTTCAAACTGTCTTTAATTTTATATTAAATTAATTTAATAAAAAGAAGAAATTAATTTTCTATTAATTTAATTTTTACTTCGTCAGTATTATTCTTCTCCGCTCAATTAAATGATTAACTTTAACTTCTCTTTCTTCAATTTTTTGTTTATTCTCTAACCTTTTTTAAGTATATTTTTTACAAGCTGTCAAAATTCACATGCGAGGTGAAAGCACACCGCGCTTCGACAAGACCAATCGGAATCGCGGAGGAGAGGCCCTCGATATTATCGACATGCGCGCCGGTAACGTCTCGTTTTTTATTAATAGAAAAGGATAAACGTTAATTGATTTAATTTACTATATTTTATAAAAGTTGTTCTTTATTTTTCATCGAGATTAGGATAGCAGTTTTGCAATTAATTAAATCAATAGATACTCTTTGAAGAGACAAGAAGCGGAAGTTGACACGCGACCAAAGTACGAAGATTCTTATGACGTCTTGGAAGATAACGATCCGTAGTTGCGTCACATCCGCAAACATTCGAAGAACTTTGGAAGATTTCGTATCGTGGTATGTGTCACACGTCAAAAATTCCCTCAAGATACTTGAACACACAGCGTCTCCGCAATGGAATACAACAACATTATTCATCCGTTTACGTAATTAGAGTTTTCTATGTAACGCGGAATCATTCGTCTTAATTGATGTTACTAAGCTGAGATTAAATAGCCGTAATATGGATACGCTAAAACTTAAACTTCTGACAGAAGATCGGAAAACTACCATGTTATTATTTCGTCCTTTTCAGTTAACCGGGAAATTATTGGCACTTTATCTCTTCGACTTCGTCGCCTTCTCGGCTTCTAATCTTTGTTAATTTCCCGGATCGTCTACACGCATTAACTACGTCACTTGTGACATCTTAACGATGTAATAGCTGTCACAGCAGACGTCACAGCATTGATAAACGTAAGTTTTTACGCACATCATCTTCCTCAACGTTTGAAAATGGTTTTTCCTTTTGTACATGTACATAGGTAGATTAAGCAATATATTATTAATAAATGTGAGAAAGACATCCGCGTTAATTATATTTATTATATATACTGTGACATTATGAAAAATCTAATTACGAGACCAAGAGATTATAACAGATAGATGCATGATTATATTGACCATTGAGCCATTGAGGTCGTTCGAATTGTGTAATATGATATGCATAACTGCATACGTAGTGTAATATAATTAACGCGTTACTAATTTTAGTATATAAAAACAAGTGCTCTTCGTTATCTTAAGGAAATACGTTCAAGATGATCCATGTTTAATTCAAGTACGATTCATTTATTGATATCGTCGTGTATTTTTGAATGTAAAAGATACTTATTGTCAGGTGCTATTGCTGAACCTTTTTAATTTAAGAAAATAGTAAAAGTAATAGAAGAAGTCCAATGTATCTCTCTCTAAAGAATGTAACAATATTTATATTTGAAATGCCTTAAAATTTCCCCTTTTCTCTGTAGAAATCTCTATCTTTCACCAAGCCGAAAACTCGCGCAACTTTCCGCGATGATTTGTCTGTCGACAGTCTCCTGATCCAGTGCAGAACAAAACTGGACGTATGTAATAAAAGAAGTCTAATACGTCTCTCTCTAAAGAATGTAACAATATTCATGTCTATTTCAAGTATTTAAAAAATTCCCCCTTTTTTTCTTTGTGGAAATCCCCAGTTTTTCATAAACTCGCGCAACTTTCCGCGATCATTTATCTGTCGACAGTCTCCTGATCCAGTTCCGAACGAGACTGGGTGTATGTAATAAGAGAAGTCTAATGCGTCTCTCCCTCTCTAAAGAATATAACAATATTCTTATCAATTTAAAATACTTCAAAATTTTCCGTTCTTTCTCCGCGGAAATCCCCATCATGCACTTTGTAAGCCGAAAACTCGCGCAAATTTCCGCGATCGTTTATCTGCCGACAGTTTCCTGATCCAGTGCTGAAAAAAACTGGACGTACGTACAGATATAACCGCATTATCTCATCGGACGGCACTTGCCGTCCGGCGCGGCGCGGCGGTGCGGTGCGAAATGAACGTGCATATCCGCGCACAACGCATGGTCGGTATCATGCGGCGCGCTCGGCGAACGTGCACGCGGAAAGTTTAAGCGTGCGGACGCGTGTGCGTCGCACGCGTACACGAGCGGCAGCGAGAAGCGCACACTTTGCACGTGTGCGCGCTTTCTCGCACACGCGAGCGCGCACGCGTGCGCGCGCGCGCGCCCGCAAATCGTTCTTTCCTTCTGTCAGTGAAGACCGACGACCTTGGCCTCGTGACCATGAGCGCCGGTTGATTATATTAGCGCGAGAGCGCTACGGTATTTCATACTTCCCTTATATATTCGCATTCATGGGCTTTCTCCATATGATGGGGAATTTTCTAACAATAAGGTGAAAGGTCAGGCAAAAGTGCCGGATTAAAAAAGCTCTTGAGAAATAACACCGCAACTGAATTTCTCGTTAACTAGTGTTAATAATTAATTCCTTGATATCGGTAATACATTGGCCACAGGGGATTTTTTACGGAATATTTTGTACCTGAGAAATATTGAAAACAACCAATATTAATATTTATTGTTCTTTCAGGAGAGAAACTTTATATTTTTATAAAGGGAGGTCCAGGTACAAACCCTGGCTGAGGTAACTTTTTCGCAATAAATTAAAAAAAAAATTAAAATCACTTAGACACTAACATCCTGCCTTGGCTCTTATATCCTTTAGTCCTTCGAATTATGACTTTACATCAGAGCCTTATGAATTTTATTGTTTATATTTTTATATTTTGATATATTGGGTTTTAGCAGTGCATCTCAAACGTGTGTGGAATATTTCTACAAGAGCAAGAAATTACAAGAAAAGAGAATACAGTAAATAACTACAGTGATGTGTAAGTGGTTTTTTTAAAATAAAATATAATTACATGGTAATAAACTATTTACAAGTCTTATTAAGATCAACGTTCATTAGAATTAAACGAGATAATTACGTGCGTTAGACGTCTACTATGCAAATTTTCCACTGGAAATCTTAGAATTTATCTTAGTATCGATTATGAAAATTATGAAAATGGTTCAATTTACGAAGATGTATAACAGTCGAGGAGTGGAAAATGAAGGCATTTAAAAGTATCGTATTATAGGTGTTAATGAGTTATGCATCATTTGCTGCATGAATAACTCTCTCGATTTCGATAGCACTAAAAATATATGCGTTTAGCAACAAGTGGAATGCGATGATCGAGAAAAAAAAAGACGATCCGTCATTCTTGTGGGTGGCGATTAGCATGACACGACCGTAATATTAGGCCGCACAGAAAATTAGGATGAAGCAGGTACAAACTGAGAGCGGCGGCTGGAACTTGAACGCGACTGCGTGAGTCACGCTCACGAGCCGTGACTCATGAGAAAATCGCCGGTGGAATCCGTGAAAACGTGAAACTAATCGCGCATCGACAAGTATATACGTAATATGTATAAACTGTGCAGGAAGCTACGTACAGCACAAGCTTATACCTCGTGGCGACGCACGCCGGTAATCTGACGTTGCGCTGAACGAGGCAGCTAACAAATTAGCGGCAAGAAAAATATCTAGGTTACTCGAGGCGTTAAAATTTCCACCGGGGACAATAAAAATACGGAAGATTTTCTAAATATGTAAAAACCTGGGCGATGATATCACAACCAATTTCATTAAATAATGGTAGCGCGACGAGCGCGCCATTACACGGATCATTTTCTCGGCGCAAGGTCTTCGGATGATTGTTATTTGTATTTTGCAACGGTTTACGCAAACGCTTCATCGTGGAAAAAAAGAACTTCCAACGGAGACGATAATGATTTGTTTTACACTTTACACGAGCGTGCACATGAGCTGAATAATTTTACTTGCGCGCTACGGACGTTCAGATATTGACAGTCGCGCGCAACTGTCAAATTCTGTGCATGAATGACATAAGCGTTAATTCATTTATTATTAATCATGCGATAGGTAAATTTAGGCTTATTACCAATATAATTTATTAACTGATAAGACAAATTTATTACCTTGCGCCTCTATCGAAGCTTGACACATGTGTATTACGTCATAGAGTACGTAAAAGAAAAAAATGCTCTATGTTTCTTGAGACCGTGTTGTATCAAAAACATAAATTGATCAAATTTTGTCTGCGTTATATCCTTTTTTAGTGTAACATATCTTTTATCCTTATTTATGAAGAAATATAGAAAACTTAATCAAAGTTTAACCACGGCCGCGTAAATGTTTTTCAAAGATAGTAAGGTTTCAATAAGTAATTCGGAATACTTTTGTAAAACCTAGCGCGGATTGGTCTCAATGTGTGGATTAATAGACAGAACGAGGATCTTTGCAATCCAGAACGATTGGATCATCGCATACGGTAGAACGCTTGCTTCAACTTTTCTTGCCTTTACATGTTTTCAATACTCTATAATATTTCGTCATTTCAACATCTCATAGAATCCGTGTTTTTTGCAATGTAAAATAAAAAATGTCATTTTAAATATTTTTCACGATTATTCTAAGTCTTGATGAAGACACGCAGCGACTTCTCCTGTGATCGTCCATGTGCGCTTCCGTAAAATGAAAACAACAATGAATAATAATTTGGTCTATTTACAAAAGGATTATATAGCAATAATTTGAATTTATGGGATCTATGAATTATTTTGCGTTATCATATCTTTTTAGAATGTCAATGGAGACATCTGTAGAACAGACGATTAACCCGTTTGCACGCCCACGCAGAAATAGTGAGTCAGATTTTATGCCAGAAGACCAGGCGTATTAGCATAAATAGAAAACGCACGTGTGTGTATGTGTTTTCTGCATTTGTGTGTAAATTACGTCATGGTAAACTTCTTTACCGATTGACAGATTCTTCTCTATCGACCGTGGAAAAAATACGATGCGGCGCATAAAATTGCGCCGTCGCAGATGCGTACGTCAGAAGGATATAGAGTATGTGTATATGTAGATTGGTAGTTGTAATGTGTATTTAGGATCATTACTGAATTTCACATTGGTGTGACAGTCCGCGATAAAAGCCATACGCAACTGATGAGCTATTTAAAAAATAGCTTATCAGTTGCACAGTAAACTTTGCAACTACTATAAATAGCATGAAACACATGCGTTGTATTGATCTCGGAGATTTCGTTAAGGTAATATTTTATATCACTAATAGGTAGCAAATATATTAGCCTTTACCTTCTCTTAAAATGACTGATACGCTAAATGATGGTCTTGATTGTAATCGAGATGCAAACGAAAGCGCAAAAATAAGCAATATTGCACTATTCACTACTCAAGAGAAAAGAAGATATGAACGCGAATAAGCGCGTCCTTACGGCGCCGACACGACGGACTAACTGTATGACATTGCTTCAGGGCGGGTACGACTTATCGATTTTACTCTTGGCGTAGACCTCCGGAAGAATCTGTCCCAATTATCGGTCACGATACTATTTATGATCACAGTTACTTATTTTGCGAATGCAACTTGTGTATGTGCGATAGGTGATATTAAAATCATTATGTAGAATAAAATAAAGTTCTAGTTCTCTTATAGCCTGTTTTCAGAAAAATAATATAATGAAATAATAAAGTATCCTTATTTTGAAGTGAAAATAAAAAACAATATTGGTGATTTTGTTGACCATATCTGGCGATTAAAATTCTTATTGCGAAAAAATATTACCCCAGCCGGGATTTTTCGCAATAAGAATTTTAATCGCCAGATATGGTCAACAAAATCACCAATATTGTTAATTACTATTGGCAACCTTAAGAATATTCTAGTTGAAAATAAAAAGTTTCACAAAACATTAAAAAAACACATTAATAAAATATATATTTTTTTACATAATTTTTTAAATATTAGCAATTTTTCAAAAATAAAAATTAAAGATAGCATAGGAGGAGTACATTCTGCTTCAGATAATACATTTTTCCATGTAAATAGCAAAGAGGCAATTAGGAAGCTTGGAATTATTTGTAGATATGACATCTTACAGGTATATACAATATATACAACATATATATTTGTCACGTTATGTTTGTTGTTATCCTCAGAAATGTAATTAGTCGACCGGTATATCCAGTTTATGCGTTTTTATTTGCCCACACAACATTATTAATTGTACACGCTCTATTAGAGAAAGTGTTCTGATTGCAGAATCCCTTCTCGTTATGCATTAAAAATAGACGACAGAATTAGTTTTAAATAACAGGTGTGACTATTGTGTATTCATAAATTCTGACTTGTAATATATGTCATTTTACTTGTATAAATACCAGTCAGAGTAAAACTTTTTTTACATAATAATTTATATGTTTATTACTATTTCATAAATAGTATTTGTAAGTAAAATTGTGTGTCTGCTTGATAACACGATTGTTTGATCGAATATATTTTTCCTAAATAATCCTGCACAATTAGATGTTCTATTTCCTTGAATTGTTTGTGGTTTTGTACAATATCAATACACTCCACAATGTGTACGAAATATGATAAATGTAAATAAGAGTTGATTAACTGTTTTATAAAATAAACTTATTTTTAAAGCGTACATAAAAGTACAGGCATGTATGTTACACTATTTAATTTTCTTACAACTAGCATTTGCCTGTTGTTTACCCATGAAGTAATGTATATTTACTCTTAGTGTAAATAAGTCAAAACGACTAATTAAACTTTGATTTATAATTGTTATGTACGTACTGTAAACGAGATAAGCTTATCTCCTGTTTGTTTTACGTTAAATAAAACTTAAAAATTCTTATTAAACAACTCAGAATGCAAAATTGCTAAGATTAGTTCCTACATTATTATCTAAAATTTTAGACGTATTCTAAATAACGTATGTTCTGAATTTGCAAGAATCTAATAACAAGGAAATCATATGGACAATGGATGTTACAAATAACAAAACCAATTCTTTTGTACTAAATTGATATTAAATTACCGTGTTCTTTTAATTTTTATTACATCTATTTGCAAATATACACCTTAACATTCAATTTATTAAACGGAATTCAGGTCGTTCTTATTTACGCGAGTGAGACACTGCCATAACTGGACTCGTTTAACATCTCTCTGAGGTTAATAAGTGGCAATGAGGATTTCAGATACGTAATATTATCTATAAACCAGGGCTTTGTGGATTTAATCAAAGATCAAGTTGCTTTTTGCAATAAATAATTATTTCTACATTTATTAGATTTTCAGAAAAACGTTACTATTTTTAATCCTTTCTTTGTAGTTAAAATTCGAGAAATATATTATTACTTTAAAAAATTATATATTTTAAGTATTGCATTTTTGTGTCTGTATGTATGAATACAGTTTATATTTTGATTAAGAGTAGAGCATTTTCCTGTTTATAAAAAATTGGAAAAATTAGATTCTGTACCAATTTAAAAAGTTACTTTAAAATTTCTTCTTATATTAAACACTTCAAAATATTTGACAGAATGTTTATAACGATTATCTGAATTGATTGCGAGTTTAATTATAGATAATTACAGATA